GTGCCTTAGACACTACACCACCAGAGCTCCCAACTTCAAAGAAACGTGTAGCAATTCTTTTAATGCTATCTTTAGCAGACAGTTAAAGATAAATTTTCATGAGTTCTTTTTTTTAAGACTGTTTGATTCTGTTTCTATATTCAAGAATATGCTTTAGATAGCTTTAGCTATTATTTACTGTCTGGTTTTTTGTCATTTAAAAATAATGAAGAGTAGATAGGCAGGTGGAGGTGGGATTGAGATTTTTTTCTTTTTGTTTTTTTATGGCTCTGTCCTGGTTTTAATATTTTATAAAACTTTCGTGTATATTTGAAATTTTCTCCTTAAGACAATGTCTTACTTGTTCAGGTTTAAAACAGACTGAGCAGTGAAATTTAAATCTTGGATCACAAAAGAGAAAATGGCAGTAGAAACTCTTTTTCAGGAGTAACATTCTTTTCATACTTTACAGATGTGAGAGGGATATTAACCCGCAAAGATTAGCCTGGATCTGGCTTCTTGTACTGGAAAAATGGTTTGCCCGGGAAAAGGTAAGTACGTTTACATTTCAAATTTTCTCCTGAAGCTGGAACTGAGAAAAACTTAGAAATAATAATGGAATCTCCCTTTTGTCTATTTTTTTTTTTTTTGTCCTTTTTTTATGAGGTTTGTCGTATTCTCTCTCAGTATTACAGTAAGAATGGCTTAAGTTTTTATTGCTGTCTCTGTACCTACGTTCATTCATTAATTCACTAATACACACTAACTTATAATACCAAATGGTCAACAATTACTTTAAAACAAATATGAGAGTGTAAGAGGACAGAGAAATTAGATTCATGGAAACAGAACAACCAGAATGGAAATAATGAGCATATTCACACATTGTGAAGAATGTCACTAATGTCACTGAACAATTCGTATGCAGTTGTTGAGTGGAAACCTAAGTTGATGTGTAAACCTTCACCAAAAACATAATAAAATATTATATATGTACATTACAAAAAAACTTGTAAGCACATTTATTTATTTGTATTTGTTTATTTATTATTAATATTTCAGAAAAACTGCCATGAAAAGACCTATTAGGGTGTCTTTGTTTGGGGGCCCTGATTGCTGTTAATGTTGGTAGAATAATTTGGAAATGAGTAATAGTGATGGCTGTACAGCATGATGAATGTAACCAGTGCCACTGAATTGTGTTTGTAAAAAATGTTGAATTGGCAAATGTTTTGTTACATATATTTTTGCCACAATAAAGCAATTTTTTAAAAGCCCTTTTAGAAGTACATGTTAATGATCAGAAATTGGTATCTATGAAAGGAATTTCTTTGATGTAATTTATTTTGAACCTCAGACTTTAAGATTTAGGTGAGGAACTTATGACTCAGAAGAGAAATGACTGACCCAAAGTTACACCAAGTTAGTTAAAACCAAGCTCCACAAGGAACTGAAACCAAGATCTTCTGACTCTCAGTCCTCTGCTTTTTCTACCTTGTCATAGTTATCTAAACCTCTATGTGGTAGTGAAGGAGCCCTGGTGGCATAGTGGATAAGGCATTTGGCTGCTAACCAGAAGGTCAGTGGTTCAGAACCCTCCTGCTGCTCTGCAGAAGGAACATGGGGCGGTCTACTTCTGTAAAGCTTTTCAGCCTTGGAAGCCCAATGGGGGTCACTTTGAGTTGGAATTGACTTGATGGCAGTGAGTATATAGTGATGTAGTGGTTAAGGCATTTGGCTGTTAACTAAAAGGTCAGTTCTAACCCACCAAGCACTTCGCAGAAGAAAGATGAGGCAATCTGCTTCAGTAAAGATTTACAGCCTTTGAAACCCAATGGGAATTGCTATGAGTCAGAATCGACTCGATGGCAGTGAGTTTGGTTTTCGAGTTTATATGGACTTAAGAGTAAGAAAACCACAAATTCTGTTTTTAAAATAACTATAATTCAGCCTAATTTTCTTTCCAACTCGCCTAAATCATCAGAATTAATTTTGCCTTTAGTAATAAGCAATCCAGGATAATTAAGAGTTGGGTATCATTTCAAAGTTAAAAGAGAAAAGCTGAGTTAAAATGTTTAGGAATAGCTACAGAGGAAACAAAAGAAAAAGGAAAAAAAAGTCTTGTTACTGATTAAGGATTTTTCTAGTACAGACATGGAATTTTTCAAACCAAATAGACTTTCACCTTAGTTAAAGCTACTTATTTACTTTGTGGCTTATTTTCTGGACAGTTGTTCAACCAGATCAGGCGATGGATTTCATCTCCCTGGCTCCTTAGCACAGACTGAATTGTTCTTGTTTTTCCTGGTGTCGAAGGTCATTTGGTCCGTAAAACTCCAGTGATTTGATTATTTAAACAGTTGTGGGAATGTTTTATTTCCTCAGAGAAATTTAAAACTATATACAAGATTTTAAGTGCATTTTTGGAGTAGTTCTACAAACTAGTCATTATACTGGTTATGCCTCCGTCTTCTAGGCATTTGTCAGCTGCCTATCCTTTTTCTAGTTTCTCATCTTCTGCCAGAAGCTTCCTTTATGAAATATTGGTTGGAACAGTGATTCAGTTTTTCCTTTCCTTTGTCCCCTTTTGCCCACACAGCAGTTCACATATACTTTGTCTCATGACATTGGCTGCAATTTCCCACAGTGCAACTTCCTCCCACTTCCTCCCCATAGTTACCTCTTCCCTGTGTCCTTCCCTCCCATGCACTCCTGCCCCCCAAGCTGTCTCCCTGTGCATACACAGCCCTTCTATTCT